AGGGGATAAATTGTTGGCAAAGGGTCACTGACCTGTGGCTGGTATGCTGTCCCTGCTTGAACTTTCAAAGACTCAGCCTGGGGTGCTGGGGCTTGTTTGTGGGGCCTGCCCCTCTATCAGTTGAGGAGCAGGACAGACACCTGCCATTTCTGTTATTGTTGCAGCCCCTGCACCTTGAGAAGTCTGGCCTGATTCCCTGCTGGAATAGATAGGAGGGGGCTCTCGAGAGAAAGCATCTCTACAGGGCTGGGGTATGGATGCTGTGCGATTTAATGGTTGCCCTAGTGCCTTTCAGCCTGTGAAAGCTAGTGTCTCTGTGCTTGGAAAACAGGCCTGCCCTCTTGAATGGCAGATCCTGAATAGTGTTCTGGATCTCTGATGGGATTCCAGACATTTGAAGCCAGGTTCGCCTCTGTAAGACAAGATTGGCCACCATAATACAGGACGCTGCATCTGCAGCATCCGAGGCAATGTGGACTGCTGCTCGGGACATGACCCTTGCTTTTGTACTCCTGCCTGGAGTCCTGGGGCAACAGCTCCCTAAATTCGTCCATCACTGCCCACGAATTGAAAGCATATCAGCTCAGGAGCACCTTTTGGTTGGCAATACTGAGTAGAAGAGCCACAGAAGTATAGGTATTATGACCCAAGAGGTCTGACTGCTTGGCCTTCCTATTCTTGGGGATAGGCCCGGGTTGACCCTGGCAATTTGTCAGCCGACGGTCAGGGCAGTGTGTGTGTGTGTGTGTGTGTGTTTCCGATACAAGGTTTAACGTCCGTGTCTTTACTGCTAGGACCGGGGTCCCATCGCAGAGGGTGGCCAGCAGGCCAACAGACGCCCCGTTATATAGGAAGAGCTTATTACACCTTAGATTTTAGCTGCTAGAACACAGGGGTTCCTTCGCAGCGGGCAGGCTAGGAAAGGCTCTTGTCACCTGGGAGTGACACAGATCCAAACGCCCAAGCTCTCCCTATGTCTGTCCCTTTATGACCGGCTGAAGTTCTTTTAAATTGTGCTTGGTTCTGTTATAGCAACTGGAGGAGTTCAGGTTAAAGCTTAAACAGTTACAGGTTTATTAAAAGACTTATAAAAGCATATGGTTACAATGGCTATTGCTCTATTTCTTAAATGCTAGCAAATATATATGTCTTAAAAATGATCACAGGAAAAAGGTAAAGATAGAACATAGAAATAATGGCACCAAATGACAGCTTAATCTTTAAAGAGCTCTAACACTATGTATATATATACTTAAGCAAAGGACCACATCCAGGTACAATTTTTACCCCTTTCTGTGCCTCTCGACTCCAGCGTGTCAGGCCAGGGCCAGTCTCTCAATTCCTAGGAAAGACAAATACGGGGTGGGCGTCCCCTCTGGAACCTCGGGAGATCAAACACCTAACCCGACCAGCAGACAGATGGTAGATTGACACTCAGAGAAAATGTGCTGCTGGACCCATCTATATACCCCTGGGGGCCTGTATCCTCTTTCTTATCTAAGAGGCCAAATTCTACTGGTCCATTTTGTGGCGCCAGTTCTTACAAGCAAGTTTCAAATTAATTTACACTTGCAAGAGAGATAACTAAATTGTGAGTACTAGACATTTTTTTACTGGGCGAGAGATTCCTCCCCCCGTGGATGGATGTGTGTTCGTATCAATATGGGTTTGAGTCAAGGGCACTCCTTGGCAGCCTCTTGGTCAGCAATTGGCATATCTCTGTTTACAGCCATTCATGGTCACAGCAGCCTGGGCCTTCTGCTCTGTGTGCCCTGTATGCTCCAGGCAAGCAAAAATGGATGTTACAAGGGGGGTTCCTGTCTGGCTACACAGTTGCACTTGTTAGTAGTCTGCACCACAGTCAAGCCTGGTCATGGCTGTGAAAACAGGTGTTTATGCCCTGCCTGTGGGGAAAAAGTACCACCGGTCAGCCTTCTTATCCATGGGCAGCATGGAGAAAGGTGTCTGCCGGAGGGCTTTTGTAATTTTGCCCATCATCTTGTTCAAGGGTAGGACCACACAAAACCAGGCCTCAAAGTTGAGAATGTCCACCATCAGGTTGAAATCCTATAGCACCTGCTCAAGCTGCATGCTAGACTGTGCCAGACTCTTGAGAAGGTCCTGGTGAGCTTGAGAATCCATTGTTGCCATTGATGGAGAAGTCAACCCCAGGGCCTCATCCAGGGAGGATGACGAATACTCACGTACCATCAAGTCCTCATGCCCTGAGGTCACTCTGAAGCCTAGGATGGAGTGCAGTGGCTTAGAGGGCCCTGATCTCTAGCCCTTTCCAGCGAGGGCCTAGTGGAATTCCTCCAGTTTGATGTCCCCATGTCCAGTGCCAGTGATCGGGGCAGTGGCATGACCAAGGGCAGGTCCCGAACACAAGGAGCCCGCAGTGGATGGGGCATTCCTCTACACTTGTTGAGAGACCCACGGGGTCCATAAAGGTCACTGGTCCGGATGTTGCCTTTGAGGTGGCCAGGTCTGCTGCTCCAATTGGCCCAAGGCACTGTGGCGGTGTGAGAAGTGCTGTAAGCAGGAACAATGCCAGGACCTGGAACTGTTGCCGGGATCTGGAGCAGTGCAGAAACCACCAGTGGCACCAGGAGTGTGAGGCCGAAGCCCAGGATCGCACCAACTCCTCATCAGAGAGCATGGCGGTGCCAAGAATGGGGCCGCTGAGCTGTTCTGCGAGGAACAATGGACCATTGCCGCCAGATTGCCTGGGTGCTAGATAGGTGGCATGTCATCAAGTGCTCTGGTGCTGCAAGTTACACCACCAGATTAGGGGTCCTGGAAATTGTGCTCTTCCTTGAGTCCCAGGAGTGCCTCACTGCCAGTGCCATGGCCACTGTCAGTGCTGTTACTGGCCTCAATGTGTGCACTGGCGAATGCAACACCATATGTGCTGCTGGCCTGAGGCTTTTGTTGAAGATGCAGCTGTTGCCAGTCTTAATGATCATCTGCCCGGGTCCTGTGCCGACGTCTCATTGCGGGCATGGGACCGATCATGGTGCACCAAGGGCAGTGAAGGCAAGCTTGAAGTCAATTGTATCAGCTCTCATGCCATCTCAAAAGTGTCCTGAATGGAGAGCTGATCAGTGAACACCAGCTCCTCCTCTGGGCTATGCTCCTGGGCTGTGCTCAGTTGGCCACTCGTGGGCCCAGGAGCAGCAGGCTTTGTGGCCAGCACCACTGCAACAGGGTGCCCTGACTGGGGGGTGCACCACGGACGCGTGCCAAGGTGGTGATCTGCCTTTTTCCATCCTCTTCTTACGGGGCACAAGTATTTGAGAACAGTTCCAGGTAGAAGGGCATCTCATTAAGGCCATAGAGGAACCCAGTGCCTCATGCTACAGTGTGCTACGGGACTCCAGTGCCATGGCCAGTTGGAACGCTGACTCCATCAGGAGTATTTTCAGGCACGAGTCTCTCTCTTGCTGGGTCTGTGACTTAAAACTACAGCAAATCTTTCAGCTTGCCGGGATGTGAGCTTCATCCAGACACTTCAGGCAAAAATCACATAGGCTTAGCAGAGCCTGCAAAGGGCTTATAGCTGTGAAGCCCTGGCATGCACCAGGGGCAGGACGGTGCACAACATGAACACTAACTATACAGATAAAGCAATGACTTAATAACACACTGACAGGGAAAGCAACTTGGAGAACAATGAAACTCAGCTAGGTGCTAACTAACTGCAAATACCACTGGGAGCCCGCTTGCAAACAAGTGAGAGCAGAGCTCCAACAACCGTCAGGAGCAATAACAAGGAACTGAGGGGTGGAGAGCCAGCAGGGGGTATATATGTGCTACTATAGTGGTGTCACTCCAGGGGATACCCCTGCTGACCCAATGGGCACTATTAAGGGAAAACTCTCTAACAATCTGTATATGGCATGCACATATCTATGTGGAATGGACATGAGCAAGCACTCAAAGAACTTTTTTTGGGTCAGAGGCCACTGACCCACAGAAAAATCAGGGACTGCACAAAAGTGAGACTCAAAACAACAACAAAAAACAACATCACTGATGTGGTCCCCAGCTAAGAGTGTTAAGTATTGTTATAACCAGAGCTCGACAAACAGCTGTTTCTATTCGCCCATGGCGAGTAAATTTCTGTTGGTTGCTCCGTTTGCCCCTGTTTGCATGCGCAGTGCAGGGCTGGCGAGTAGATCTCGCTGTGGTTTGTCAAGCTCTGGTTATAACCAAGAGTACAAGTAGTTCATTATTCCAAAAAAAAAAAAAAAAAGATTTGATTTTGGAAAACACAGCCAAACATTGGAAATATTCAGAAGTCAAGTAACCTGCATGTGTTTGACAATTGTACCTGTATCTAGTGTTTTCCAAAATGTTTTGCTCGGGCTTTTCATCATCATGTCCAACTGTTATTAATTGCTTGTCTTCCAATATCACCCAAAAGACTCTAGCAAGATTGAGGTTTCATTGTGCACAATACTAACATAAAATAGGAGACAATAATACCTCCTCTCTGAGTTTAAATCTAAATAGACAAGGCAGACAAAGGATGGGGGGAGGCGGGAGAAGAATGTAACTGGGTAAATAGAGTGGTGGTTTGCAAACATGCTAAGAAAGAACGTCCAGAGTTAAAACCTGTAGAAAATAGTTTGATGATATGATTGGTGCTTGCCACCTTGTAATCTTTAAATTGAGTGGTTTGTACACAAGAAAATACTGTGATTATATATTTAATATTTAACAATATAACAATATTTAAATATTCTTGACTTGTACCTCACTTGGCAAGGAGACTTAATGAGATTGTTTTGTAATTCATTAACTAGAAAATAAGCACTGTAGATTTCTATGGAGTAGCAGTAGGACAAATCAAAGACATCAGTTTTCAAAATGTTCAGGTTCTGTTTAGCTTTTTTCAGATATAATATGAAATATTCATAATGTGAGCAAAATATTCCATTCAGGGTAATACTTTCTCTGTTTTTTTGTAATTAAAATTTTTCTTTTTCTATATTCAGCTGGGAGGTCATTAATTCCAAACCTGACTACAGGCCCAGAATAAACCAATGTATTGCAGATGCATTGGTGAATTTATTTGTATTTCTTCAAGAAATGTCACATTTCAAAGAGAAAAACCCTGGCAAGGTAAGTTCAAAAAAGTAAAATCAATATTTGTATCCTGTTTTATCAGGAAGTGTTATATCTCAGCAAACTGGATCCATGTAGAAGAAATGTCGCCAAAGAGAAAAGTTTATGGCAGCAGAGTTCCCTCCCTCCCCCACATAGCTGCTGGACTCTCAGCCAGCCACTGTGTAACACCAGAATTGGTGCAGTGGTCAGATCAAAGGTCCATCTAGCCAAGTATCCTATCTTCTATTAGTGACCCATCTGTAAAAATTATTGCCAGTCTTCTTTGTCTTGGCCTTCCAGCCAGGTCACACAGTCAGAATGAACAAGTGTCCAACAGAACAGTCTGTCCACCCTCGTGCTTTTGGCCCTTTAAGTTCATCCCTTTGCTCAAGCTTCCAAGAAGGACTTGTCCCCTTCTTGGGGCTTAAGTTAGTCTTCTTTCCCCCACTCTTCTCATTTTCAGAGTTTATGCCGTTTTATTGGTGAGGGAACTTGAACTCACCACATTACTAGAGACCCTTTAAACAGCTACCACATACTATTCAGTTAAATGTATTGCTGTTACTTCTCATCTGGCCCCTTTATCTTTATCAATATTTCAGGGCCAAAATTTTCAAGTTCAGTTTTCCCTGCTAATTCAGCGATGCAAGTGGGGCCTGAATTGTACCCTGGCTAGTCCTCAGACTCCCTTGGCCACAAACGAAAACTTTCCCACCCAGCGACTGCCCTACTAAGGCTCTGCACAAAATATTATCTGAGCCTGCTGGGCTTAGGTTGTTACTATACCTTCTAGTCAGTGGAGGACCAGATCTTTCTAGTTTTCAAAATGGCTGCTTCCAAGAGGCCTCTTTAAGTAGGCCTGGAAGGCCCATCTTCATTTGTCTTTTCCTTGCATGTTGCTCCTTCCTCGGGCAAGGTGCAGCAAAGCAGTGGGGCCTCCAGCAGAAGGCCAAAAGGTCCTGGTACATTGTCACATCTGTCATTAAATATTGCTGGGGTAATTTTGCTCAACTGTTCACATGCAGAATTTGCATCCCACAGAACTTTTTCCTCAAAAAATACATTCTGCCTAAGAAGTGCTACTGTTTCTTATTTCACCCACCAGAGGCTGCTGTGGTACCAGAACAGTCAGCAGCATGAACACAACCATTTGTTCTGGCACCACAGTGGTCTCCAGTGGGCAAAAGGCAAACATGCAGTACCTTTTGAGTATATTTAGTATATTTTAGTTTTTGAGGGCTCAATTTAGCCAAAACTGATTTTAAAGGTACATTCAATTTTTCCTCCTCCCCTTTCTCTGACAATGGCACTATATTGTTGTTAAGAGCATAAGAGATTAAATATGATCTGATATTGGGTGCTTCTCCTTCTTAATTAAATGAGGAGATAAAATTAATTAACAGGCTTGTAAATTCTCAATTTTCTAAAAATAAGTGCTTTAGTTTGGGGGAGGATACATTCCAATTTGTAAAATTCAGTTAACCTATGGAGCAGTAACTGGGCTATCAGAGCCGGGCATAATACAGCCAGTGCGCTGGATCCAACCAGCCCAGCCTCTGGATCTAACCTGCCCTGCCCACCTCAGTTCACTCAGAAAAGAGGCTGTGGGCCCCTGTTTGTCTTTGAACAGCTACAAGCCTAGGGTAGGAGGGATAGCTCAGTGGTTTGAGCACTGGCCTGCTAAACCTAGGGTTGTGAGTTCAATTCTTGCAGAGGCCATTTAGGGATTTGGAGCAAAAATTGTCAGGGATGGTACTTGGTCCTGCTGTGAAGGCAGGGGACTGGACTTGATGACCTTCAAGGTCCCTTCCAGTTCTAGGAGATAGGCAATCTCCATTTATTTATTTATTAGGGAGAAGAGCCTACGCACTCTGCCTCTGCTCCCAGCACAATCCTGTTGACTGGCTTCTGGCCAATGGGAGCTGCCTGTTTCTAGAATAGGCAACACACAAAGCAGTCCTTTCCATTACTCCGTTAGGCTCATCACTGTTCACGTGGCCCGGTCGGCAGGGGCAGGGGCAGGGCAGACAGGGAGCCTGCCTGAGAAATCTGCTGGTCTACTGCCCAGGAGAAACCCAGGTAGATCTCCTGGTCAAAGTCTGCCTTTGGCATCCCTCCCTCCCTCCAAGCCTCTGCCCCAGGTCACAACAGTTCCCTTTACCCAAACTCCCTACCAGATCCCATGGCCCCTCCTGTACCTCATTACTTTACCCAACCTCCATCTCAAACCCCACTCCTTCTCCATTGATACCATGGAAGAGTGCAGCCCTTGACCACTTTCTAAACTCTTCAAAAATCTCATAAAAAATGATTGACCACACCTACACTATATAGTGTTGACAAGTGCCCAGGTTTAGCGCTGTATAAGATGTAACTATATCTAGTTTTAGCTAGACCTTGTCAGTGCCTTCCTTTCATGATCATCAAAATCAGCCCCAAGTCTTAAAAAAATCCAACCAAATTGTAGTTTTCAAATTGCTTTTGAATATGGTGATCTAAACCAGGCTCGCACAACATACGGCCTGCGGGCTGCATGCAGCCCGAAGGGGCTCACTGTGTGGCCTGTGACGACTTTCGGAAATAACTTTCACTCTCCTCTGCCTCCCTCCTCTCTTCCACTCTCCTCTACTCCCCTTTTGAATGTGGCACTCTCTTGTGCCTCTCCCCCTGACATCAGGGACGTACGCATGCTCTGGCCCCACCCTACGCCTGTGTGCGGCCCTGCCCCCACTTCCAGCTCCCATCCCAGGACTCGGCCCCCCTGCATGCCTCTCGGCTGAGCAGCTGCTTACGCAGCGCAGACCGCTGTCAGAACGCCGTGCTCCCCGTGCAGCACGGGGGTCAGCATTGTTGGAGTGTGGGGCGGGTCGCCCTCACCGCCACGGGGTGGCCCTGCCCCATCACAGCTCGCCAACTGATAAAATCTACGCCCCATCGATATTATAACGTGTATCAGTTATTTCTTTTCTTTGTGTGTGACTGTGAGTCTTTCCCTTGTGTGTGAATTTATTCAACAAAATCTTGACACGCATGGTGGGTTTTCTTGTTTTTCTTTTTTGGCTTGACAAAAATTTTTAGCCTGCGTTTTCGGTATTTTTTGGGAGAGGATATGGCAGCATTACTTGCGGCCCGCAGCTGTTTTCTTTGGAGTAATTTGGCCCTCGCCGCTTTCCGAGGTGTGCAGGCCTGATCTAAACCATTGTATTCACTGTATCCAGCTTTTATCAATGGTGATGACCAGAAGGTAATTAACGGAAGGAAAGAAGGAGGAAGGAAGAAACCTTATTTTTATACCACCTGAGACATAGCCTAATCTCTGAAAAATATTTTATTTAACGTTTACTTTAATACTTGTATTGAAATTATAATTGAAAAAATCTCCAATTTTGTCCTTTTAGACTAGATTATTAGCCTGCTTGGGAACTGTTTGTATAATAAAGTATAAATATTAAATGTCATAGTAATAGACATTTTAACTGTCATCTCTGATCTCTTCTGTTTTCAGTTCTGCCTTTTGATCTGCAGTTTGTGTACTTTTTTCACTATCGTGGGTAGTTACATTCCAGGAGTTGTACTTTCCTACTTTCTATGTAAGTATAGTCTTTTTCTTTTTTAGCCATGTCATATGCATGTTGTATGTTCATTATGCAGTGTAACATGCAGTCTGTTTTAAAAAATAGCTCTGTATATGGATCTTGACCAATGATGGTTTTGTATGACAATCAGGTTAAGTTTGTTAGTTAAAGTTCTGGTGAAACATTTGCACAACACTATAGTCTCTTTCAGATAGTGATGTAGACAGGCACATGTTTATGCCAAAATAAAACATGATTATGAATAAAAATAAATGCTACCATAACACATTTTCTGTTAGAACTTCTGCAAACACTTAGTCATTTGGTGTAAGTATCATAAAATCATAGACCACTAGAATTGGAAGGGACCTTGAGAGGTGATCAAGTCCAGTCCTCTTCCCTCATGGCAGGACTAAGCATCATCTAGATCATCCTTGACAGATGTTTATCTATCCTGTCCTTAAATATCTCCAATGATGGAGATTCCACAACCTCCCTAGGCAATTTATTCCAGTTTTTAACTACTCTGATATTTAGGAAGCTTTTCCTAACGTCCAACCTAAACCTCCTTTACTGCAATTGAAGCCCAGTGTTTCTTGTCCTATCATCAGAGCTCAAGGGGAACATTTTTTCTTCCTCCTTCTTGTAACACACTTTTAGGTACTTTAAAGTGGCTATCACGTCCCCTCTTGGTCTTCTCTTTTCCAAACTAAATAAATGCAGGTTTTCTTCAAGTGCATGCTCATGACCATTGTATGTAGATGTGTGTGCACTGCATGCACAGATTATTGGAGACTTTCAGTAGCAGTACCCGATGGGCCAGCAGGGGAGCCTCCTGGAGTGGCGCCACTAGAGCGGCACATATTTACTCCTGCTAGCCCTCCACCCCTCAGTTCCTTTTTCCCACCTGTGACAATTGTTGGAGCTCTTATCTTGGTTGCTTGCTAGTGTGGTCCCAGTGGTATTCACAGTTTAGCACTTAGTTGAGTCCATGGTTCTCCAAATTGCTTTCCCTGTTAGTCTGTTATTAAGTTGTTGTTATATATTTATAGATCGTAGATGTCTTCATAGATAGTGTTAGTGTTGGGTCAAGGTTCACCCAGTGCGCTCCATTCCGCATCTGGGGCATGCCAAGGCCTCACAGCTTTAGGCCCAGTGTGGACTGTGCTAAGCCTATGCCCTGTGGGGACATGCACAACTTCTGCCTGAAGTGTCTGAATGAAGCTCACATCCTGGCAAACTGCAATATTTGCTGTAGTTTTAAGCCTCAGATTCAGCGAGAGAGAGACTTGCACCTGAAAATACTCCTGATAGTGTCAGCGCTCCAATCAGTACCGGCCATGGCACCCGACTCCCACTGCACACCAGCGTTGGTGTGGAGGCGCTGAGTTCCTCTGGGGCCTTGACGGGATCAAGACGCGCTTCTACCTAGCTCCGTTCTCAATCACCATTCTGCCCTGGAAGAAGGAGAGAGGGGCAGATGGCCACCTTGTCATGTGCCCGTGGTGTGCCCCCAGTCAGGACACCCTGATGCACTGGCATTAGCATCAAGGCCTGCTGCTCCTGGGCCCATACGCGGCCAGTTGAGCCCGGCCAAGGAGTGTAGCCCTGAGGACGAGCTGGTGCTCGTTAATCAGCCCTCCACGCTGGACGCTTTTGAAGCAACACAAGATCTAATGGAATTGACTTTGAGCACACCTTCACAGTCCTTGGCGCATCATGATCAGTCCCATGCACATACTGAGATGTCAGCACCAGACCTAGGCAGATGATCATTGAAATAATAACCAGCTCCTTCTTTGCCAAAGACCTCAGGCCGGGCAGCAACACTGGCTGTGTCACTGGCTCTCCTTGAAAGTCAAGGGAGCGCTCATCTTCCAGCATCCCTATCCCAGCAGCACAACCTGCGACACAGGAGCACCTGATGCCACTGCAGCCTGTCCAGCACTGGCACAAGCTGGTGCCAATGGTCCATCACTCCTCCCAGCACTGTTCATTGGGCCCATCTTCAGCACTGCCATGGTTGGAGTCCGAGTACTCTTCGGACTATGATGTGGAGTTGGTGTAGTCCCAGTCCTTGGCCTCACACTGCTGCACTGCCCCCAGTTTTGGTGCCGCTCCAGCTCCCGGCACTGTTCCAGCTCCCAGCACTGCTTGTGCCACTGAAGCACCTTGGGCCAATCAGTGAAGTAGACATAACCGCCTCAGCGGCAACTCTTGGACCAGTGGCCTTTCTGGAGCCTATGGGCCTACCATCAGGTGCAGGAGAATGCCCCATCCATTGTGGGCTCCTGGCGCTATGGGCCTCAGGTGCTGCCATCACCCACGCTGCTGCCCTGATGATTGGCACCAGGCAAGGCGATGTCAACCTCAAAGGATTCCCCTTGTTGATCAGGGCCCTCCGAGCTACCTGTCTCCATTCCAGGCCTCTGAGCAACCTCAGGAGTATGAGGACTCGATGGTACACGAGTACTCATCATCCTCCCTGGATGTGGGGTTGGCTTCTCCATCGATGCCAATGATGGATTCTTGGGCTCATCGGTGCCCGCATAGATGCAATCGCCGCAAGAGCATACTTACCCATCCAGATGTTCCAGGCCATCCAAGACCTCATAGAAGTTGTTTGAGACAATCCGTCCGTCCATCCAGATACTCACTTGTTTAAAACCCATGGGTCACATGGTTGCTACAACTTACGTGGTCTGCTATGCCAGACTACACTTTCACAGCCTTCAGTATTGGCTAGCGTCCGTATACAACCGCACAAAGCACGACCTCTACAGATCAGTGACCCCTCTGCCGTCTGTTATCCAAGCTCTCCATTGGTGGACAAACTACATGAATCTTCTTGCGGGCATGCCCTTCCACTCACAACAACCCTCGTGTCACATCACCACCGACGCCTCCCTTCTGGGGTGTGGAGCACACTTGAACAAAATTTCAATCCAGGGCCACTGGTCACTTTCCGAGACACGACTCCACATAACTGAGATATTTCCTCAGTTACATCCGCAATACCTTGGTAAGAATCTTCACAGACAACATCACCTCAATGTATTATGTGAACTGCCAAGGTGGAGCCCGCTCCTGCTCCCTCTGCACGGAAGCAATCTGCTTTTGGAACTAGTGCATTCGCCACGGCATAACACCTGTGGCATCTTACTTGCCTGGCATCATGAACATTCATGCAGACTTCCTCAGCAGACATTTTGCTCTAGAGCACAAGTGGGAATTGCACGATGGAGTCCTCCATATTCTTTTCCGACGCTGGGCCACTCCCCTAATAGATCTTTTTGCCACGTGTCAGAACAGCAAATGCCAGAAGTACTGTTCTAGAGCTGGACACGGCCCGGGCTCCCTAGACGATGCATTTCTCCTCAACTGGAGCAGACCTCTCCTCTATGCTTTCCCACCTACAATTCTCATTCCCAAAGTTCTGCAGAAGATCAAAATGGATGGCGCCACAATCATACTGGTAGTACCAGCATGGGCGCGTCAGCACTGGTTCCCCTTCCTTTGATGCATGTCACCATGCAGACCATATCAGCTACCAACCCTCCTGAACCTCCTCACTCAGAACCAAGGGACACTGCAACACCTCCAAATACATACCTTGCGGCTCACCTCATGGCTCCTAGTTGGCTGAACCCTTTTGAATCCCTCTGCTCTACTCAGGTTCAAAACGTACTAATTCACCGTAGAAGGCAGACAACCAGAAATACTTACCTCTCAAATGTGCGCAGGTTCGCCTCCTGGTGTGCCACACAGCAGCTGGTCCCATATTCTGCTCCACTTCACCTTGTCCTCAACTACCTGCTACACCTAAAACACACAGGCCTAACCTCAGCTTCTCTCAGAGTTCATCTAGCGGTGATTTCTGCCTTCAGAAAACTGATCGAAGACACCTCCCTTTTCGCCCACTCAACTACCAAGAGATTCATGAAAGGCCTTGTGAACCTAAGCCCCCCTCGTAAACCTGTTCCCCCAGTATGTTCTTGGAACGTTGTTCTTGGGGCCTTAACCACATCACCATTCAAACCATTGGCCATCATACCTTTGCGCACCTTAACTATGAAGGTAGCCTTCCTTCTTGCAATTACATCAGTATGCAGATTCGGCGAGTTATCAGCACTTATGGCAACACCACTGTACACTACCTTCAATAAAAATGGGGTAGTCCTAAGGCCTCATCCAGCATTTATACCTAAAGTTTGTTCGTCCTTTCATATCAACGACTCTATTATCCTGCCGTCCTTTTATCCCAAGCATCAGTCCTCACTTCATGATACATCTCTCCATACACTTGACATCCATAGAGCCCTCGCCTTTTATATAGATGGCACGAGATCTTTTAGGAAAACAGACCACCTAATCATCTCTTTAGCTGGGAAATAAAGAGCTAAAGAGATAGCCTTTATTGTCCCAGTGTATTTCTAAACTCATAACCACGCGCATAACCCAGGCCTACCAAGGGCTTATCACTTCCAACACAGCCCCAAGCACATTCTACAAGAGCAATGGCAGCGTCAACAACCTTCCTCAAGGGCATTTCCCTGAAAGACATTTGCAGGGCAGCCACCTGGTCATCCCATGGTACGTTTGTTAAATATTACGCAATCCAACAAAAATAGCTCTCAGATAAGAACATAAGAACGGCCGTACTGGGTCAGACCAAAGGTCCATCTAGCCCAGTATCCTGTCTACCGACAGTGGCCAACACCAGGTGCCCCAGAGAGGGTGGACCGAAGACAATGATCAAGCGATTTGTCTCCTGCCATCCCTCTCCAGCCTCTGACAAACAGAGGCCAAGGACACCATTTTATCCCCTGGCTAATAGCCTTTTATGGACCTAACCTCCATGAATTTATCCAGCTTCTCTTTAAACTCTATTATAGTCCTAGCCTTCACCGCTTCCTCTGGCAAGGAGTTCCATAGGTTGACAACACGCTGTGTGAAGAAGAACTTCCTTTTATTAGTTTTAAACCTGCTACCCATTAATGGGTAATGCTGCAGTAGTGTCAGCGGTACTCTCATCAGTGGACAAGTAGGGACTCCATTTCCACCTTCCTGCTCATGGGGGTACTGCTGCTCAGTCACTTACTGTAGAGCACCCATGAGGACTCCACTCGAAGAAGAAAGCTAAGTTACTCACCTCGGTGCAGTAACTGTCATTCTTCAAGATGGTCCCCATGGATGCTCCACTGTCCGCCCTCCTCCCCGCTTCGGAGTCTCTGTCTCTTTCTTCTGTCTCACAGATTCCAAGGCGGCCTTGAGGAACTGGCGGGGGCCAGACAGCGCGAGCATAGAAAAGAGCGTGCATGCTGCGAGACGTTGCCGCTCATGCGCGGTCCGGCTGAACACTGCTATAGAAGAGTCTCCATTCTGCGGCGCTGGGACGAGCCCAGCATCTACTGTGGAGTACCCATGGGAACTATCTCGAAGAACTACAGTTACTGCACCAAGGTGAGTAACTTCGCTTTCTTTGAGATGTGTTGCTTATGACCATTCAATTCAATGTTATTTGGAGCTCACCTAGACTCAATGTCAGCTCAGGCCTATTTACCCCATTATCTTTTCACCATTCTTCAGGATCTCTTAGCCATACTTTCCATGAGTCCTCCTACTACAATACTTACCTCCCCTTTCTCGGAGCCTCCGGCAAGAAGGAACTGACTTATGCTTTGTTATAGCGGTGCCACTTCAGGGGGCAACCTTCCGGCCCAACGGGTACCGCTGGGGAAAAAACGCTCAGGGAACCGTGCACATGGTGCGCGCACACCTCATTCGAATGGGCATGAGCAACACATCTCGAAGAACAACTGTTACAGGTAAGTAACCATCTTCTCCACATCGTCATCCACGCTTGCGAAGAGACATACACCAGTCTCACCACCCTGTACCTTCTCCTGACGGAGGTATCAGAAGAGGAGGTGGGCCAGATCCAAGAATAGGATCCTGGCCCCCCAGACCCAAGACACTTAATCGACAGATAACTCCTCTTTGTCTCCTGACAAGGTAGTGATTCCTACAGATCCATGCCCAGCTGATGATCTCAAGCAATTCCAGGAGCTTTTTAAAAGGGTGACTGCTAGTCAGGAGGTCCCTCTCCAAGAAGTTCAAGAAAAACAGCACTGACTCCTGAAAAATATCCAGCCCATATTACAGGAAACCAAATGACTTCTGCATTTATGAGTGGTAGAACGGGTTCCTAACTAGTATCAGGAAAGGGGGTTTTATTCAAAGTACTTTCTCACTGAGAAAAGGACAAGGGGTTGAAGAACAATCCTCAATCTCTGCAAATTTAAAAAATTTCTCCACAAACAACATTTCAAGATGGTCACTCTAGCCACAATTATTCTGGTACTGGATGAAGGGAACTGGTTCGCAGCCCTCGACCTATAGGGCTCATACTTTCATGTGGCTATACACCCCATTACACAGACACTATCTTCATTTCACAGTAGGCACAGACCACTTCCAGCACAGGGTCCTGCTCTTTGGCCTATCCTCTGCTCCCAGAGTTTTCTCAAAGGTCCTAGTGGTAGCTATGGCCTACCTCCAATGGCAGGACGTTGTGATCTTTCCATACCTCGACAGCTGCCTCATAAAAGGCTGATCTCATGAAGAGATGGCCACCATGGTATTCAAAACCAGGCGTCTGTTCCATCTCGCGGACCTTCTCATAAACTAACAAAAATCAACTCTAAAACCCGTTCAGGACATAGAGTTATTTGGAGCTCACCTAGACTCAATGTCAGCTCAGGCCTATTTACCCCATTATCTTTTCACCATTCTTCAGGATCTTTTAGCCATACTTTCCATGAGTCCTCCTACTACAATACTTACCTGCCTTCAGTTAATGGGCCACATGGCGGCAACTACCTATGCCATCCAACACTTTTGCGTACTACAACATTGGCTAGCATCCGTCTACACTCTGTGTCATCATCCTCTGCACAAGCTGGTCATTGTGCCCATGGGTGTTCTCATCTTCTTACACTGGTGGACATCCCCTGACAGTCTTCTTGTGGGAATCCCATTTCACCAACCCAAGCCTTAGGTTCAGATCACATCAGATGCCTCCTTACTGGGTTGGGGCACTTATCTGAATAATCATGTCGCTCAAGGCAGGTGGTTACCACACAAGACCTCATTGCATATCAGTTTCCTGGAGCTCAGAGCAGTAAGGAATGCCTGCTTCCATTTTGCCTCCAACATTGCCAACTGCCAGTCTGAATACTCATGGACAATAAGACACCATTTTATATAAAAAAGACAAGGGGGCACATGCTCTCGTTCTTTATGTGTGAAGGCTATCTGTTTATGGGACTGGTGCAACCACAACCAAGTCTCACTAGTGTCATAGTACCTACCTGGCATAACAATACCATAGCAGACTCTCTGAGCTGCAGTTTTTCCACTTGATCACATATGTGAGCTTCATTCTGGGTCCTTGACTTGATCTTAGTGATGATGGTATCCATCCATACCTGTTTGCATCACACCTCAATGCCAGATGCTTCTGGTTTTGGTCCTGGGCCGGTCTGGACAAGGGATCGCTAGGCAATGCCTTTCTGATACAATGGAATGTCCCACTACATTATGCTTTTCCACTAATTCCTCTTATTCCAAGAGTTCTCCACAAGATCTGCTCGGATGACACTCAAGTCATCTTGATAGCTTCCTTGTGGTCCAGAGAGACTTGGTTCCCATACCTTCATTGAATGTCCATCCAACCCCCATATTCTCTGCCGCACCATTACGAACTCCTCTCACAGGATCACAAGATGCTTTTACACCCACAACCTCACATCCTTCCCCTCAAAGCATGGCTTCTGTCTTGTTCCAAGAATCAGAAGCCCACTGTTCTGATCAGGTGAAGGACATTCTTCTCCATAGCAGGAGACTTTCCACACATACAATTTATCTGCATAAATGAAATCACCATTCACATTAAGTACTGCTTTGTAGTCATCAACAGTGCAGTACCCACAGAACCATCACTTGGAGAAAAGGGAGTTACTCATCTCGTGCAGTAATGATTGTTCTTTGAGATGTGTGTCCCCATGGCTACGACTAGACTGCAAGCCTCTTTCGAAAGAGGCTTTTTTGAAAAAGAGTGTCTAGACTACAACCAGTACTTTTGAAAAAGCAATATGCTTTTTCAAAAGACAGCACCCAGGCAGTCTGGATGCTCTCTTTCGAAAAAGCACAATTTTCAAAAGAGCACTTTCGAAAAAAAAGTGTTATTCCTCATAAAACAAGGTTTTCCACGGTCAAAAAAACTGCTGCGTTCTTTCGATTTACTTTTGAAAGAACGTGGCAGCAGTCTAGACGCAGGTAAAGTGGAAAAAGGCCACTTAAAAAAAAATCCCTGTAGTCTAAATGAAACAAAAGACAGGAGTATGCAGCACTTTAAAGACTAACAAGATGGCTTATTAGATGATGAGCTTTTGTAGGCCAGACCAACTTCCTCAGATCCATATGTGGAAGAAAATTGACACAACTACTTACTTACTTACTTACTTACTTACTTACTTACTTACTTACTTACTTACTTACTTACTTACTTACTTACTTACTTACTTACTTACTTACTTACTTACTTACTTACTTACTTACTTACTTACTTACTTACTTACTTACTTACTTACTTACTTACTTACTTACTTACTTACTTACTTACTTACTTACTTACTTACTTACTTACTTACTTACTTACTTACTTACTTACTTACTTACTTACTTACTTACTTACTTACTTACTTACTTACTTACTTACTTACTTACTTACTTACTTACTTACTTACTTACTTACTTACTTACTTACTTACTTACTTACTTACTTACTTACTTACTTACTTACTTACTTACTTACTTACTTACTTACTTACTTACTTACTTACTTACTTACTTACTTACTTACTTACTTACTTACTTACTTACTTACTTACTTACTTACTTACTTACTTACTTACTTACTTACTTACTTACTTACTTACTTACTTACTTACTTACTTACTTACTTACTTACTTACTTACTTACTTACTTACTTACTTACTTACTTACTTACTTACTTACTTACTTACTTACTTACTTACTTACTTACTTACTTACTTACTTACTTACTTACTTACTTACTTACTTACTTACTTACTTACTTACTTACTTACCTTTACGTAACTTTTGCTTAAGTTACGTAAAGGTAACTCTATTAATGAAATACATATTTCTGTTTAAATCACTAACTAAATATTACCCCTAAAAATTAGTGTAAGTAATCTTTCTCTTTATATCTTTGTTCTGTGTTACAGTACTGTGTGCCTTTTTATGTCCACTGTTCAAGTGCAATGAACTTGGGCAGAAGATATACAGCAAAATCAAGTCAGTTTTGCTAAAACTGGATTTTGGAATTGGGGACTATATCAACCAAAAAAAGAGAGAGAGATCTGGTAAGTAACTAATGTGAAGGGGTGGTTTTGTTTTTCCCATATGCTGTCCCAAATTCACTGGTCGCCTCATTTGCCTACCTAGCTCAAATTAACAAGCTAGTGTAGACATACTCTAAGAGTTTGGTTGTGCCAGGAAAACAGGATGTTTTGGTTCATAAAACCAAACAGAAAAGAGACAGAATAACCAAAGCAAGTACAGTCCTCAAAATTGACCTAACTGAGCAAATATTGAAAGAGATTGAACCAAGATGAACCAGAAAAATAGGATGAACCTGGAATAGGATTTTTTTTCAATAAAATTTACAGAAAAGAGATAAAGTGGAAAAATGTTGGGTTAGTACTCTGTTTTGGCAGACTGGGCAATGCTGGGTAATCTGCCAGTATTTTATATCTTAAAATTAGGCAAAAATCTGCTCATACTGTAATCATCACAGTTCCTCTTTTGAAACCAAGTAGGAGTATACTTATTATTCAAATTCTAAGCTAAAAGGTGGGAGCAGAGTTTAAACAGTGTATATCAGACTGACCACTTAGGATGGGATGAAGAGTTTTCTCCTCTCATTAGACTTGATCTGCCCCATCACTGCATATATTTAGGAAAACTGCTAGTCTTAAAATATGAAACATATTCTAGCCACCTTACTGAGAGTTAACATTTACTTCCAAATGTATATGTTCTATTCACATGAAAGCAGCTAGTGATTAAATTGTGGTTTATGAAATAGACTCCTAGGGTATGTCTACACTACAAAGTTAATTAGAACTAACGGACGTTAGTTCGAATTAACTTTGATAGGCGCTACACAAGCGCTCCGCTAGTTCGAACTTAATTTGAACTAGCGGAGCGCTTAGTTCGAACTAGGTAAACCTCATTCTACGAGGACTAAGCCTAGTTCGAACTTACTAGTTCGAATTAAGGGGTGTGTAGCCCCTTAATTCGAACTAGTGGGAGGCTAGCCCTCCTCAGCTTTCCCTGGCGGCCACACTGGCCAAAACCAGGGAAACTCTATTGCCCCCCTCCCAGCCCCAGACCCCTTAAAGGGGCATGGGCTGGCTACGATGCCCGTGCCAGGTGCAAGCCTGCCAGCACCCAGCTA